GCCATAAACATTATGTTGTGGACATCCAGGCTTGAGAAACAGTTCTGGAAATGGGCCATTGTATGAGGTTGGTATAGCATTATGGTCATCATGGACAAGGGTTCACGACACAGGACACTGGCACCATTTTAGCTTTTTCAAATCTCTTAAAGTCATGGCACACTTTTGGCTATGGTTTATTAGTTATTGTTAACACAATTCTAGGTCATTTTCTTCAAGCCTATCAATCCTTGATAGACTGCTCCTCTTCACATACAGATGACAGATTAGATAATGACAGATGCAGAGGTGCTGTTGCATTGACTCCAACTCACAGCAACCTTACATACAACAGAATGAAATGCTGCCCTGTCCTGTGTCATCGTCATGATCACCAGCATGTTCCAGCCCATCATCGGGGATATTGTGCCAGTCCATCTTAGCAAGGGTTTCCCTTGCCCTCATTTTACAAAATATGATGGTCAATTGATTTCTCCTGATGTGTCCAAAGCAAGCAAGTTGGAAAATATTCTGTGGTGATCCAGGTTTTCATTGGCTAATTTTTAGAAGCAGGTCGCCAGGCCTTTATTCCTAGTGTGTCCCGTTCTAAAAGCTCCACTGAAACCTGTTCACCATGGGTAATTCTGCTGGTATATGATCAGTAGCATAGCTTCCACATTACAACATGCAAGCCACCATAGTGAAACAAACTGAGGTAGTGGTGCTATTCTTTTGTTTCTATTTCTTCACCAACTTAAATGTGATTGCCTGTCTCCAGCAGTCACAGATACATGCCTATTAGCACTAGTTGTAAACTTTTCTTTTCACTCTTCCACTTTTGTGGCATGTCCAGTCTTATCACCTGCATGATGTTCATCAGAATTGATGGGTGAAAATGGTTCACCAAGAGTGCATAGAAGAGACTTCAGTGGAGTGAATAGAATGGTGAATCCACCCAACTGAGAGTATAAAGACCCACCAGTGTCTCATGGCCAAGAATGTATGGAATAGAACGTCTTAGTTTGGAATCCCCCAGAAGTAAACTTGAGTCAAGAAGTTGAGTGTGAGTAGTTTATTTTGGAGATGATTCCAAGCAGCAAAGGATACAGGGGAGGGAAGACAGGTAATAACGAAGTGTGTTACTAAGTCCACTATCACAGGGGGAAAATGAAGCTTAATTCTTGTAGGAAATCTCTGGAAAATAGTGTAAAACACACACCTCAGAATGATCTCACCCAAAGACCACAGATTTGACATTTGTTGAGATCAGTTGCTGGGGAGTGTTGATTCCTTGGCATTTTTGGCTTGCTGTGCACAGGGACAGAGTGGCGTTTTCATGATTCCAGAGTAAGCCCTTGGGTTCAAAGGTGCAGATATTAGGAGCTGGAAGGTGTCTGGAATACACTGAAATGATAGAGATAAAGGGCAATGAGATGGATTCCTCTAGAACACCTGCCAAGCAGACCTTCATTGGCTAAGACTTTATCACTGTGCTCATTGAACAGGCCTGTGGCAATGAGAAAAATGGGTATCGACTATACTGTCCTGTACTGTAATGGATTTCTCAAAAAGCTTCAGGATAAAAATATAAGTACTGCACAGCATTAGGCTGAATAAGCATTGTGTGGAGAAGCAGTGAGGTACTGTGTAAACCTACAGATCTCAACATCTCTTCATGATAGTATTAAATGAAAACTGCAGCTAATTATTAGACAGTATGCTCAATATAACCCAGTTTTTGTGTTAAAAATATACAGACAATTTAAGCAGCACGTCTGTAAGGTTATAAGCTAAAGTACTATAAACTGGGCCTGTAGGGAGATGGAGTTATGAGTTAAAACTTGTTAAAACTTGTTGCTATCGTAATAAGCATGGGTTGATTTTGTAATAATGATGATAGCACAGGGAAAAAAAAATCCACAATAATTAAATACAATCTCAAAATTCAAAACTAATGGCAAAGGTGTTTCTAAATCCTCTTTTCTTCTTCCAGTGTGGCAGAATAGAGTCACCTTGCTTATCTGCAGGTAACTGTTTTGCAACATCACCACTCTCAGACATGGGAGAAAACAAGGACTTAGTGCCCCGCCCCCCATCCCTACCTCAAGGCTTCTGAACAGCAAAAAAGAGAAGTGTCCATAACCATAAACCAAAATTCATTCACTTTGCTCACAGAAAGGCACCTTAGAATAGTATTTAGGACTTACGTACATATACACTGCATACAATTCTAACAAATTCTGATATTTGAGTAAAAAATCACACTTAGAAGTTGCAATTAAAAGATGAGAAAGGACTTGCCACAGGCAGACATACTGAAAGCAGGGATGAGTGGCAGAGATGACAACTGAGGAGTATGAAACCTGGTATAGCCCAGCTCCTGTTATCAATTAGCACAGGTGCCCCATGTTCCTCCACATGTCCTCCACCTGTCTGACAAGCCCTAAAGACACCTGTTTCAAGCCCACAGCAAGGACACAGAGATGGCCTTGAAGAATTCAGACCAGGTTTAATTACAGTCAGGAGAACCAAACCAATGTTCGGGCCTTAAGAAGAATGGCAATATATGCATGCATTTAACATCTTTTGTGTTAAAAGTGGGCACCTTAAAACTTAGCTTCAGAGTCTTGGTAATACCAGCCAGACGACAGAATGTTTCTCATTTTTTATTAGGTTCTACCAAGAGGAACAACGGTTAAGTGATTGACTAACTGAAAAGTTGGTGGTTCAACCCCACTGAACCCATCTGAAGACAGGCCTGGTGATCTGCTCTTGAAAGGCGAGTCTTGAAAACTCTGTGAAGCAGTTCTACTCTGCACACACAGAGTTGCAATGAGTTGGAATCAACTTGACGGCAACCACCACCAACCACCTTTTCTATTTTTGTGTGAAATGAAGTTGGTTTTGTATCTGTCATAGCCGCTGGTTCAAGTACCTGTTGTTTAACATCTTATCTTACGATGATGGGACAGTTTGTGCCTCCATGATTCTGAACATCACTTTTTATTTTTCCTCTTGTGTTCTCAATATTCCTTAAATTAACAACAACAACAAAAGGTACTTAGAAAATTGGAGAATAATGTTGTGACAGAGTGTTCTTGGAGGGGCTGTGCTTTTATACTGACCAGTTTTTAAACTTTCATAAAAGTGGTCTTTAACAAGTCCAAATAAGATGAAAGAAATGGCATTCCTGGCGAAATAAGTCAGATGAGTTTTAGACTGCAAAGTGTCCTGATAGTTTTACATGATCCACTGCAGTTCCTGAAAAAAACCCTGTGAACAGGTAACAGGTCTTTGAAAGCTTTTGAAGCGCAGGCTCTCCACCAGCCAGCCCATCTCTTACTAAGTTCTCAGCCTCATTAAGAATGAGAAACAGATACCACGGCACCAATCTGTCTACGAGAACACAGTGAGACAAATGTAATTGCCTGTATGAGGAATATAGATCAGCAACTTCCAAATCATTCATATTTACACCCCCTCCTTTTGGTTGTCTTTCCTTTCTAATTTGGCCATAAATCGATGCCAAGTGTATAATTTCTTCTGGGGCTTTATCAGGTACTGCCCAGAGCCGTGATTATATGGTGCAGGGAGCGTCCTCCTCCTGAGCAAGTCTATCTTTTGTTCCTTCTTGATAACCACTTCTTATATATAAAATCAAAAGGCAAGTCTTGTTTTTATGTGCTGCAGAATCACTAAATACACCATTTAGAAGCAATTTATCAACTGAAACCATTGCGTTTTTAGCTGCCACTGTAATTTTTCAAAGAGAAACGATCTTATTCCTTTTTTTTTTGAACCAAAAAATAATCCCTTCTCTTTCTTTTATGCAAGGAAAAAAATCCTTCCCTTTTTATAATATAACTTTTATCAAATTGTAGCAGAAATTTTAGGGATTTCCAAACTGAACATTAAATTATGTACTAAATTCAACTTTCATCTTACTTGTGTCTACATTAACTGTACAGGGTAAGACTGGATGCTGAACAACCAGAACAATAGATGGATAAGTAAGATTTCTGGAAGAGGCCACTTCACAAACAAGCAACAACAACAACAACAAAAACAAAGTGTTCTCTAAGTGAGGTTTTAAAAGATAATTTATTAGTCTGAGGAGTCACACATGATACCCAGTAATATGCTTCTTTTATTTTTGTGCCTTTATGTTAAAAATATATTTAAACAAGAAACAAAGATAATATTGATTTTTTCCATAAACTTTGCCTTTCTTATTTACAGTGTTACATTGTAAATAACATTCCACGGTTCACAAATTCAAGACTCTACATTATTGTCCCTCCTCTTCACATACTCTTTCATAATATAGTACATACAGCTCCAGGCTCTGCAGTCTTGAAGCTTAGAAGAGCTTGAGGAAAGAAGTACAAACTTTAGCAATAGGACTATTATTTAAAAAGGTTCTGACCTTAATTCTCTGCTAGATTGTTTCACTGAAACCATTCTTTGTTACAGAAAAATGCCCCATATGAGGGATGAGAACAACAGTTTAAGCTACCACAGGATCCACTTAAACTGGTTAACAAATAAAAACATTTTATTACTGTTATTAAATGGAGCACTACCACTGTCAAATCATTTAAACAAATTGATTGACTCTTCATTTCATACACATCAACAATGACAGTTGGTACCTCTTTGTGAAATTAAAATTGTTTCCTGCAACTTCAGGTTTTACTTGTAAACAGCTAGAGCACATATTCTGTAAAGAAGATTTAATCATTTCTGTTTTAGTTTACACAATAAGGAGGTGTTACCATTTCATCAAGGAAGAAGCAAGCGCACACACTGCACACACACACACATACACAGTCGTGCCCACCCGCCAAAGGCCCACCCGCATCACTGAAAGCTAGCTACAGCAGCACTTGTGCCTCGAGTAGCGCACGAGGTGCAAGAAGAATTATGAAAGGGGAAGATGAAACATCCAACTTCAGTTAAAAAAGTCTGGAAAACTCAGGTTCTGAAATGCTTCCCAGATGCTTCCTGCTCAACCCGAAGAATCAGTTCACTGGGCTCTCCAGGCGGCAAACCCCACCTTCGATTGCAACCGACTGTCCTGCCACCGCACCGGGAGGGAGTCTTGAAATGTGGGTCTGCAGAGAGGGAGACAGGGAGAGTGTTAGATGTGCTGGTCATCCCCCCCTCCCCCTGTCCAATGAAGTGAGGAAATACCAATGTATCATGGCTTGTCTTGTCTTCTGAGTGTCCACAGGCCATGATGATGGTGACCTATGGGCACCAAAGATCCTGTTACTGAGCATCTTCTTCTACATGCCAGATATAGCTCTAGCCACTGGAAACGGAGGTGAACAGGATCGCCAAGGCCCCCGGCAGCACAGAAGTCAACACTTAGTCATATTCAGAACAGTGATGTTTTGGTGACAACTGTATTGAGAACACTCTAGTTATCTTGAAACTAATAAATTAAGAATACTTCATCAATTTTTATACCTCTAATTATTCCTTCAAGGATTTAAGGAGCTTAGAAACATTCAGTCAATCCAATAACCTAAAGTAAGTGAGAAAAAGAAGAAACAGAAAAATATGAGCTTGTAAAATAAGGAAAATATAGGAGCAAGGGTAAAACACAAAATCTAGGCAGAGGAGTTTTGTACCCTGCTTGAGGCAGGTTGCTGCCCTGTCTCTCACCTTCTTAGTGCTCATAACCAGATACGTGATTCATGTGGTTTACAGGATAGAAGCAAATCAACTGCTCAAACAAGAACAACTGTTCCTTGTACTGAGGCTAGGGAACAATTTTTCCTTTAGGTCTTCATAAAGAAGTCACAGTGCATAGTGGGAAGAGTAAAGACATCAATTATACAACAAAGAGTTTTGTAGGACTGATTGTTACTCAATGGAGGCAGGGACTCGAGGCCAAAGCAAAAGTCAGTAAAAGCTGTTTCATAAGGGGTCAGGATGACATCAGTTAGGAATTCCTACTTTTAATAGTCTAGCTTAATCCAGGGATAGATAAATGTCAGTAGTTTCTAAGACGAACAAAGGGACTTCATATCCTTCAGGTAATCCTCTCCAACTCTGTTTTTCTAAACAAGCTTTTCCTAGGGACTGAACCACAGCAAGTTCAAGTCCCCAGAGAGTGGCTGTCGATGTGTTTGGTGAGATGGCCAAGCCTAGGATAGAACTAACATCATTTTATGCAACCAAAAATTAAACAAGCATATGTTTTAGGTGGCATAACAGTAAGCTAGCTGTTTTGTAGTTTTTAGTTTGAAGGTGGAGAGATACTATTCTCTGGGTCCAACTGGACAAGTCCTTTTAGAACAGCTGAAAATTTGGAAAGTTCTGAAGAATAGGAACTGTTCCCTGGGTTCTTCTGTATGCCAAGTCTGGAAGCAGTCTGTAACACATAGGGGTAAAGTTCATTGACTTTGCAGGGTATAGTTGGGGCAAGGTGGGTCTCTGTGGTATCTCCTGGGATCTAAGGTTTCCTGAGTTCACTCACCATGCCGCAGAATCTGGCCTCATTATTGCATCTGATGGCCAAACTTGGTGTGGTAGTTAAGGTTATGTGTCAACTTGGCTGGGCCTGGTTTTGAGTGGCTGGGCAGCTGAATGTAGTTATTCCCCATGGTGAGATTGGTAATTAAGTCCATGGTGGAATCTACTGGAGCAGCTGAGTAGCTGCTATAGGGATGTGGTCTGCTTCCAGTATATAAGAAGCAACTTTGAGGAAGGTTTCCAGCTTTTGACATGCATGAATCCTGCATGTAGCTGAGTCATTATTCAGCAGCCTGCCATGTTGTCTGCTGATTTTGGGACTGTTAATGGGACTTGAATCAATGGCCTGCTGTGTGGTTTGGTAGTATCAGGACTGTGCCATTTTATTTGTCAACCTTGGGTTTGCCAGCCTCAGCATCTAGCAGCTGCCTGTGTATGCCTCCAGCTTCAGTGAGCCAGGAGCAAGAGGCAGAGCTGAAGCCCAAGGTTGAGAGGCTTTCACCCAGCTCTTAGAGCCTGACATTTTGAACTTGGACTTCTAGCCTCCCAAACTGTAAGAGAATAAACTCCTCTTTGTTTAAGCCATCCCATTTGTGGTATTTCTGTTAGAGTGGCACTGGGTAACCAAAATATTTAAGTATCTTATCACATGGATATATTATGCCTTGGAACTTGTGGTTCTTTTATTTCTTGTGATGCCTCATTTTCCTAGAGGGAGGGAGGAATGAGAAGGGGGAAGGGTGCTGTTTGTTTGCTTCTGCTTACCCAGTAGCTCTTGTCACACCAGGCACATAAAGCTCAAATCCCACAATCCAGTGGGCTCAGTGATGATGGGGGAGGGGGAATTTAACCTTTTCAGTAATCAACTAACATGAAGTGAGAGGAACTTTTTACCCCCAGGCATCATCCACCACTTTTTAAAAAAGTCTTCCTAAAGCAAAAAAAAAAAAGGTTCCTGAAATAAGAGAACAGAAGTCTCTCAGTCAATTTTACTCCTAATCTCATTATTTTTTTGATCATGAACACAGGTATGCAGCTATGAGAGGGCTTAAAAATAAAGCCCAAATGACCATTTCCTACCTGGTCCAGAATAGTTCCCTATAAGATGCCAACAAGGGATGGGGCTGGCTAGGAATTAATCCATGATGCAAATCCCCATAGGGGAACCATCCAGTGTGGCAGAATAGAATATTTGTAAATAAGTATGGATTTCCAAAGAAGTTGGTTAAAATACCTGACTCTTAAAAAAGGCAGTAGGATCTATCTCCTATTCCCTCAGATATTTGGGGAGAACACAACAGGCAGTCTAAGGCACAGAGAATAAATTAATCAAAGGATGATTTACTCTGTCCAAGCACATGGACTGCATCTTGACCAAGGCAATGCTGGTCTTAAAGAAAACAATTTCCTGCTGATCAAGGGAAAGATCCAGAACTGGGAAAAAGAAACTGTTGTCTCATGGTCGGGGTAGGGGTGGGGGATGCTGATAACAATCCCCTGTGGTTTGCAAAATTGCAGATGGACAATGCAAAGTTACCTCTATTATCACCACCCAAGTCCCCCTCCCACCCACACACACCAAATTCATGGCAGAAGAACATTTAAATAAAGTAAAGCCACAAAGTATCAAAGAGGCAGGAGGGAAAGGAAAAAGGGATTGGGGAAGATGACAGTGGTCTTGAAATATTAACAGTACTTGGGCAAAATACTTCAGAAATGCACTTAGGTATATATAAATTAAACTGTTTATACAACATAGTTAGAAAAGCTCAATTAGACAAACTAGTTGTTAAGTTAAAAGTCTCAGGATTCTCCTTTCCCCACATCATCTAGTCAAGGAAGATGTGTTGATAAAGAACAAGAATTATCTTTGTGTTGAAGAGAAAAAAATAATTAACCATCCAAATGTCAACACTCCACCAGTTTCATTCACCAACATGATCTTCTGACTCATCAGAAAATAAGTGATTTTGTTCTGAGAATATTTGAGCCAAAGTGTATTTGAAGTTTTTCTTTGGATATTTCAATGTGAACATGAATCATACTAATAATCAAGGGGTGTCTCTTTTGAAAGAATGTCTTAAGTGGGTGTTTATCTCCAAAAATTCTATTAGAGAAATGGGTTGGAATTTATCTTGAGCCTCAAGATAGACCATTTCTGCAATGAACTTTGATGTCAGCACCTAAAGGTGCAATTAAGCAATTTATATTAAATAATGTCTATGGACTGTGCAGATGCTAAAATATCCTACACACATAAGAGCTTAATGAAGTGCCTTCGAAACTATTTAAATAGCACACAATACTTTCATTGGAATTTTCAACTAATGAAAAGTAACACATGAAAATCATACATGAAAAGGAAATAGAGACAGAAACGTTGGAGATTGCATGATAGAATTTTGCAAGACCAAAGACTTATTCATTGCAAATACCTTGTTTCAATAACACAAATGGCAGCTATACATGTGGACTTCACCAGATGGTGTATACAGGAATCAGATTGACCACATCTGTAGCAAGAGGTGATGTAAAAGCTCAGTATCTTCAGCCAAAACAAGGCCAGGAGCTGACTGTGGAGCAGACCATCAACTGTTCATATGCAAGTTCAACTTGAAGACAATTAAAACAAGTCCACCAGAGCCAAAACTGAACTTGAATATATCCCTCCCGAATTTAGAGACTGTCTAAAGAATAGATTTGATGCACTGAACACCAATGACTGAAAACCAGAGATTGTGGGATGACATCAAGAATATCATCCATGATGAAAGCAAAAGGTCATTAAAAAGACAAGAAAGGAAGAAAGATCAAAATGAATGTCAGAAGAGACTCTGAAACCTGCCCTTGGATGAAGAGTAGTTAAAGCAAATGGAAGAAATGACAAGATAAAAGAGCTGAACAGAAGATTTCAAAGAGCAGTTTGAGAAGACAAAGCCAATTACTATAATGAAATGTGCAAAGACATGGAGTTGGGAAGCTAAAAGGGAAGAACACGCTCAGCATTTCTCAAGCTGAAAGAACTGAAGAAAAAATTTAAGCCTCAATTGGAAATACTGAAAGATTCTACGGGCAAAATATTGAATGATGTAGGAAACAGCAAAAGAAGATGAAAGAAATACACAGAGTCACTGTACCAAAAAGAACTGGTTGATGCTTATCTGTTTCAGGAGGTGGCATATGATCAAGAACCAGTGGTATCAAAGGAAGAAGTTGAAGCTGAACTGAAGGACTTGGTGAAAAACAAAGTTCAAGGATTTGAGGGAACACCCACTGAGATGTTTCAACAAACGTATGCCACACTGGAGGCACTCACTCAGCTATGCCAAGAGATTTGGAAGACAGCTCCCCGGCCAACTGACTGGAAGAGATCCATATTTGTACACATTCCAAATAAAGATGATACCACAGAATGTGGAAATTATTGAGCAATATCATTGATAACACATGCAAGTAAAGTCTTACTGAAGATAATTCAAAAATGGTTGCAGCAATATATCGACAGAGAACTTCCAGAAATGCAAGCTGCATTCAGAAGAGGATGTGGAATGACGGATATCTTTGCTGATGTCAGATGATCTTGGCTCAAAGCAAAGAACACCAGAAAGATGTTTACTTGTGTTTCATTGAC